TTTCCGACGGTAAGATTTTCTGCGAGATTGTACTTAGTCTTTAGATAGGGCACAATAATTGCCAAGAACGTGTCATGAGCTTTCTCCTGCTTCAAAATCGCTGACCTTTTGGTACAAGGGGGTATACAAAAACATTATGTAGCTGGAGAAGCATAAGCTCACTCTTCTGCTCAACATTATAAAGTCCACGCCCGAGCTCGTTCTTTATATTTATAAGTATAATAAGTATTATTATTATTTCATCCTAAATTTGAGTGCCGGACAAGTAGAGCCAGAAGGCCGGAATGCGACATAGCGCCAGAATCAATGAGGCGAAAAGGGAAACTAACCTCTACATTATATTATTATTATTATTATTACTATTGTTATTATTATTACTATATTTGTAGAATTTGATATTTTCAATAAGTCTAAAGTAAATCCCAAAACAGATCACGAATATCAATCTTCTGAATAAACGAAGTTAGCTCAATAATATCAATAAATCACTTTTAAAGCTTTAGTTGACTAAATCACAATTTTCAAATTATTTAGGATAAATAACAACTTTTTGCAAAAAACTTTATTGAATATTCTACATGCATGTAGTTAATGAATTCCATTGTGTCGTGCATTTAATATGATCAGTCTTGTCATAATTTATATTTCAATAATTGCAATTCTTAGATGTAAGCATAATGAAACAATATGAATTTTCAGAGTTCTAAATTAAGCTTTGATGGGACATTCATTCCAAAAAGAACTTTTATTAAACGCCGATCAAATAGTGATTTCGGCCGTCAATTCTGAGACTAACGTGCTGCAAAATGTTTGTATATGATTGTATTTCATGAGCCACTGCCTGTATCTCGAAGAACTTTCTTATTATTTTCTTGATCTCGACTTCTCTCAGATCCATTAACAGCGTATAATTAAGAGCGAAAAATTGAGACGTTTTTATGAAAAATAAGTTCTACTCTTTATTTTAAATCATATCCTTGCCTAATAGTGTTTGTATATATTTGTTTGTATATATTTTTGCTCTTAAATCAAAATATCTTCATTATAAATTAAATTGCACAGAATTCGATGGACGTAGTTATTTGAGGATTAGTAAATGTAACGTATAGAAATGATTGAAAAATCGTCCAGAGAAATATTTTCTAACACTGCAAATTACCAATCTTAAAAATTAATTCGATGCATTTTCCATTTTGTAATAATATTCCATTAGAGTTCATCAGTTTTGTTTGCAATTTTATTGCATATTTCGTTTTTCAGAGATGCATTTTTGAGTACTCTAAAATCCAAACATTTTTATTTCACAAAGTTTTAAAAAAATAATTCATTTTGTTTTGTGGTGCTAGTCAGCTTATCTTTGCTTCAACAATTTGAAAAAATTAAATTTTGCGATTTCAAGTTTTCTTCCATACTATTTTTATTTATCCGTTCTAATCTCAGGAAAATGGATCATGTATGCAATGTTTTATATTTGGACTAGTAAATAAATAAAGTTGTAGTTTTAGGATTTGAAAATAAAAAGAAAATGATTTTAATTTAATATTAATAAAAGTAAATCATATTTTTTAAATGGTTGTTCAATTATTAATGTTTATTTATGCTTGTATCCTGGAAAAAAAGATTTAATTTTCCATTTTACAATGATAAGTAAAAATGGATTTTTGACAAAAAACTAGAGTACTCTATAATGGATTTTTGACAAAATTTTGTTCTAAATATTACTTTGATAATCGATTTATGTTAAATTATAATGATGATGCATTATTAACAAATAAGCTAATCTGATATAAGTAATCAAAATTTCTGTAATCACAAGTAAATGAATGCAAAATCATTTTTCATAAACATACGTTATGGTTTCGATACAGAAGTAAGTGTTGTTCCTAGTGGCTGTGCGCTACTTGTCTGATTTTGAGACGCACTTCCATAGAGTACTTTAGTGTTTCTTTTTGCGAACTGCATTTGATTGAAACAATTTAATTACAAATATTGAAAATTTTGGTGAATAAAAATTTTTTAACATTCAAAATAAATTTTGTAATTGATCAGTTTACAGTAATTTTGTATTTTTCTGCTTATTTTGTTATTGTTGAAAACTTTTTACTTTTAGTGTGTTTCGAATTTCATTTTTGAACACATAGCAAGCGCAGCAACCAATGCATGCACATGCAGTCATGTGGAAAAAGCTTGAGCATACCAAAAAGAAGAATAACCACTGCCTAAATTCTTTACAATTCTTGAAGTAATAACTGAAAGAATAAAGTTTTGTGGTGTTTATATTCACAAATTATAGTCATGGAATAGTCATTTATGATAAATTTCATTAATATACTTGATAAATTCACAAAACTAATGCAAAACCAACACAATAATGTGATCAATATCCGCGAAAAAAGATATAATATCGCGAATCACATATTTTGCACCAAAAACTGTGTCTGCTGTATGATTAAATAACTGATTTAGCAGCATGAGATCTTGAATGATTGCCTGGAGATTGAACTACCTAGTCAATTCTACGTGAACATAATAAGTAAGTATATTGTGTGATTAGTGCAAGGAGAAAAAATTTTACCAAAAAAATTGCATTGCTTTTATATTAGTTTTTCTGACTACAATACTATAAGCAATTAATAACAGTATCATTTTTGTAATTAATGATATTGAAGATAATAATAATAAAAAAATTTCATGCATGTTAGTTAGCTTGAGGATTGGTTCTAAATCAGTCATTAATACTTAAGGTTGAGTTAAATCACTGCAACTAATTCTTGCAAAATAAAGAGTCATTTATTTCTAGAAGAAAGAATGCATTAGTCTTTATGATCAAAAATGCATTCAGTCTTAACTTATTGCAATTAATAGGTTTGTGCTAAGTTTGAAAATTTTTTGAGGCTATTGACGAATTTTTTGTTCAAACATCATGCAGAATTAAGAAGAAGAAAACAAAAACTCAATAAATGACATCTGAGATTCTAGCAAGCAGCATAGAAGATGAAGGAAAAGCTTTAGATCACAAAATTTTGTTAAATTTGAAGTTTGATAGCGAAGAAAATAGGTTTTTTGCAGAATGCAACACAAGACGCTTTTTACATTTGATCCCTTATGAACCTGATAAACTTGATCATTTATGACTTTTTTAGACTATTATGTCCTATTTTCCAAATTAGTTTAAAAAAAAGAAAAAAACTAGTCTTAATAGGAAAAGAATTCATTAGTTTAAATACTTTAAAAAAATCTTACAGGTTTCATATTATTTCCAATCCATATTTCACTATCATAAAATGGATTTAATTTATATCGGTCTTTTTTAGGAGCTGAATTTTTTGCAGTTACATTCAATAAATTGATAAAAAAGATTAGTATAATCCAGCGTTTGTCTGCAAAACTTTTAAAAGTAAAATAATTACTTTTGTAATAATAATAGCAATTATTGTTATTATTATTATTATTATTATACTGAAAAGTTACAAGGAATATTAACACAATTTGACAAGAAATGCATTACGAGTGGATAAAACAGTCATAGACGTTTACGTAAGCCGCTCTAAGATGATGTACAATGTTGAGATAAGCGTAATGTTAAATATTACGCTTTTTATATTATTTGCTTGATTTGAGCACATGCAAATGAAGTTAAAAAGTAAGAATTTACATAAGTTATCAATAATATGCAACATACAGTAGTGTACATAAAGGGAAGAGTCACTATTTCTTATCCTCATTTTTGTAATTATTACTAATCGAGAGCTGCAACTCCAGTATGAAAATAGATTTTTTGCAGAAGTAGAATAAATTGTTCCAAGAGTGAACTTCAAGATTTTTGGTCTCTACAAAAATTTTAGTAACTCAAAAATAACTTTTTGGGATAAAAGTTATCAAGCTTAAAAATTGTAGAAATAATTAAT